AGCACAATCAGAGAGTAGAGGTAGGGCTGATAGAATGTGTAGAACATCATGCGCAAGTACTGCTTCGGCATTGTGTCGTCTTCTTTACGCCCAGCTCCGTTGATCGTATCGATATTGTAGGAAACATAGCTGAGCATACTGTAGGAGACAAAGGTATAGATGAAGAAAGGGTTGGCTGAGAATTTCGTTGTTTCGTGCATCATATAGTAGAGAAGAGGCAGTGATGAGATCCATACTGTAGTTTTTCTCCTGGAAACAGCGCAATAATTTGATTGGTTATAGTAAAATCGATCATAGAAAAATTGGAATCGGAGGTTAGATCCACATCTGCAAGCCAGAGTGTAGAATTGTAGACTGCTTTATTCGTAAATTCAGAAAACCAAAAGCTCCAAAAAATTACGGACTAAAAATTATGGACACCAATCTAAGAAACGTAAATGCAGCTTAATTTTCGATAGTGACCTATTTTTGCCCAACAAAAGCGAATAAATTCGAAAGAACTACAGCTGTCAGCTCTCGCGAAAGAAGTCTGAAAATGCGGGATTTGCTTTTTCCATGTAAAAAACTACGGTAAGTTCTTTTGAGTGATTTTGCCGCCAAGGACGAGAATCCATTAACGCGTTTTGATGCGTTCAAAGCCATTTTCTTTTTGTGGGAGTACGCCTACACGTACGGACATGTTTGCACATGTTTTAGGCATCAACTTTTCGAGAAATTTCTACACGGTCGATGCAACTCATTGCTCACAATCAGTTTCGTTTTCTAGAGCTCCTGAGTTTTGCTTCTAGACAATGAATTTTCAAATTTTAGCAACATACTATGTGTACCTCGTTATCTATCGTTCTTCATGCTTTCTAAATATCGCCTAAATCCAGGTACTTACTGACTAGTGCTAGTCTCTTTGAAAATGGTGTTTCAATGTACAAAGCATTTCATTTGCGCAATTTTACATCTCAACTGTCCCCCTTTTTTCTCCTTGCCGCTCCCCTCGAGCTTCTTCATTCACGTGATTTTTAGGTGTTACATGTAGGGCCCTTTCATGGACCAGAACATTGAGGAAACACTACGTTCACGCAAGCCTAGCAAATCCGAACTTGTTTCCCTTCTCATTATTCACCCCTGATGAAGCAAGGATGAATTTGTGAAGTACGCGCATGTTTTCTTCGATTTGCAATCCACATTATCATTGGAAAATTATCGTTGAAAAAGTCCATGATGACAACTACGAAGTGTAGTTCAAGCGTTTCTGAATTTCTGCATAAAAAATTTGCAGCAACACAGATTTTCTGAGTTGAACTTAATGATGTAACCACTCGAAAGGCGAAAAAGTCAGGGCTCATAGTCTGCGCGAAATGTAATGTCATTCGACGCAATGCATTTTTTTTTGTACAAAGAAATAGACACTGCTGTATTCTCGTTTGATCCGGATTGAAAACGGAACTGATTTCTGTCCACAGAAATCCATAGATGTTTTTTGTTCTCGTACGAATTGTAGATTGCAGGCGTAATGGAAAGTGAGTTAACCAAAGCAATCGGCGGAAAGTGCATTGGAAGAGTTAGGTGCATGATTTGATCGCTCTATGACCTTTGCTTTGTTTTGTATCTAGCAAGGACCGCAAAAAAAGCATCTTTGTTTAACAAAGTTTGAGGCCTAGACAATTTTTTGCATCTCTTTATGTGCGAATAGGTAGCAGATTTTGTAGCTAAAAATGAAATGAGAAAAAAAGATTTATTTTTCACCGACAGAAGGAAAATGGATTTTGACCAAGCGCGTCTTGTAGTCATATCTCTTCAAAAGAAAAAAGTGTAAGTTGAAATCTTGAGGAACTCACCTAAAATATTGGCAGGCCAAAAACATCACAGTTCCTTGAATAAGTGAGACCGTTACCAGGAATGGTGTAAAGTAATATACGCATGCAGCAATGCTGCATAACGTGTAGAATATAGTAAATACAGTTTCAGGCAGGAATTTGGACCCAAGATTGAAAACAATAGTATGCCCTAAGAATACAGGTAGATATTGCCATGCAAACGGCGACCAATTCACCCATTCCCAGCTCGTTTGGTCCTGAAAAGGGTATCGTGTATTGACACTCTATGAACAGGGGTAAAGTGGAGACACGGTTTAGATAAACAAATTTTAATTTCCGTTCCATTCACTGAAGTGAACGGAAATCTTCAAGTGACTATTCCAACATCCATATGTACTTATGGGTTATATGAAACTATCCCAGAAAAAAAGTTTTTGCTTTTTTAGCTATTTTCGCAGAACCAGTATTTTTGAGACGTCGTGCCAGTCTAATACAGTTGCACTTGATTATTTATATTATTATCATGAATCAAAATTAACTATAATTTCAATTTTTCCGAAATCAAGTAATTTTAACACTAACATACTCTGACTGGATTGTAAATAGAAATAATTAACAACACACTCTAATTGTGGATTATAAATAGAAATAATGAGTTGAAATTGAACCAGTCACCGGAATTTCTCAAAATTGGTTGAATAGTTACGACTTAAATGAAAAGTTAAGCCGTTTGTAAGGGTATGATGTTAGAGAATTTAAAACAGTTACAACATTATCACAAAATTCAATAACACTTGCTTCCAAGTTTAATCAAGAAAAGATTGTTATCTCGTCACCTCTAGTTGTGAAATCCGGTGTATATTTATGTTAACCAAATCATCGGATGAAAGAATTAAATGATTCATTGACTCATTGCACAAAACTTTCTCAGCAAGTTTTCTCAAAAAACAAAACAAAAATCGCGCTCACCAGTAATCGAGAAATTGTAGATAATGCGCTTCATTCTGTATCAGTTCATAGAAAATCTTTTGTGTTTATCTCAAAATCAGTACCATATGAGTCACAGGGTTTTGCATTTGATAGGCATAAAGCAGAAAGTATAGTAAAAATAAGTAAATAAGTGATCTACAACCACTGACCGACTCACTTTCATTACTGGTCCTATAAATGGTAGACTACTGAGCACAGCATAGTCGCCGACATTCCAGACAAATTTCTTGCTAGCCTGGTAGATGCAAAAAATACCGTATGCCAGGGCACCGAAGGTAATCGTATAGCATAGCTTGATTTCTGGTAAAGCCGGGTAATGGAAGGTGACACGGGGGGCCCTGGCAGACATGCCCATCGTCGTCGCGGGCGAGGATTTGAAAGTCCTCGTCGAGTGGAGAATTGGGTCGTCGTTCGCGGCGAAAGTGAAACGAACGACACTACAGGTACCCAGCGTTCATCCGAAGAGAAGTTGCGTTGTGGGCGGGACCTTTGGTAGATCATCGCGGACGAGTTTTCATTGCTCTGGGAAGGATCTGTCGCAAAAACGCGTAGTAAAATCCGCAATATCGAAAAAAGTGTGACTTTTACACTTACCCAAAAATTTTCTTTTTTAGAAACTGGAAAACGATCGATCTCTCACTGTAG